TCCCTGAGCCCACTGTGCACTAAAAATATATTTTCTTCTCTGCACACCTCTAACCTGTTTCAGAATTGAGTCTAGGTTATCTAAATTAAGTAAATTTATCATCAGTAAGTAGAAATTACAGATTTTCAGATAAACTGTTGAAGTCACCCCTAAAAGTCTACCTGTGGCTTTTGGTAAAAGAAGAGCATTGATATATATATTTTAGAGTTAGTCAATGCAGTAATAACTGAATGAAAGGGTATGTAGATAATTGCACATCAAGTGCAAGTACACTGAAATTTGGGAGTTCAATAGGCAATCATGCCACATGTTTGTAGTTTTTCTCTGTATCCTGGTAACCTACATAATTCTTGCTCTGAAAATTAAGGAATGTGAAAGCAAAGCAAGTTCTTCTGGACTACATCCCTTCTTCACACCCTCTCTCTCCCTTCCTTTATGCTTTATGTACAGTATATGCTATGCATAAAATGTAGGCAGGGAGAGACATACTATTTGAATGAGGCATATTAAGTTTGTTACCATATGTTCAATCAATCTGTATATTTTATTCTTTATATTTGTTGCCTGTATATTTAACTGAAGAACTGGGCCACCAATATTCTGTTTGACTGGGATGTTTGCTCTATCTCATTACATTAATAATGTATCAATAAAATAGCAAAATATTGCTTGCATATCAAAGACGACAGAGCATTATTTTTCCTCATAACTGTATGCCAGTGGGGCTTACAGTTTGCATAGGTGTGCCTATCCATACCTTTCATAGGCATGCCATAAATTGGTCCTGTGTTCTCCCCAAATGTCACTCTGATCCCCTTCCAGTGCCGGATCTGCTACTCTGCTTTCTACTTCCTTCCCTGTGCTGCCTGCCTGATCTCTTACTCCGCTTTCTGCTCTGCCCTATGTATGCTCTCTTCCTGTTCTATCTACTGCTGCAGTGCCTGTCCCCTTCCTGGCCTCCTATGTGCCACACAAAGGCTGTCCATGCCACTTGTGGCATGCATACCACAGGTTGGCCACCTTTACTGTATGCTATCCCAGCTAGGGAAATTATGGTACTTCAAGTAGGTAACTAAAACATACAATGAATTAGCATAGTTAGGAAAAGAATTGATACCTCACTCCCTTACCCTGCCTGCCCTGCCACCTTATGGTTTCTCCTGGAGTAGTGCTTGGCTTCACTTCCCCTCCACTTCGCTACTGTGCCCTGCACCCCACAAAATGATAATCAGTAAGCTGTAACTGGTTACCACTGGGCTTATTGATTAAAGGATTAATCATTTAACTGGCTAGCAAGTTGGCTGGATCGGAACCTGATGAAGTTCAACGTTGAGAAATGTAAAGAGCTCTACCTCGGGATGAGCAACCCCCAACACACCTACAGGTTTGGCAGCACCAAACTGACTACCACCATGAATGAAAGGGACCTGGGGGTAATAATAGACCACAGTATGAAAATGAGCTGGCAGTGTGATGCTGCAGCCAGTAGGGCAAATAATACTCGGGCATGCATCAATCGTTGCATCTCCAGCAAAGCCAAGGAGGTGATTCTTCCGGTCTACTCAGCACTGGTGAGACTGCAGCTGGAGTACTGCGTCCAATACTGGGCTCCACACTTTAATAATGATGTGGACAAGCTTGAGAGAGTCCAAAGAAGAGCCACCCGTATGATCAGAGTCTTAAAAGGCAAGCCATACAAGGAAAGGCTGAGGGATCTGGGACTCTTCAGCCTGAGGAAAAGAAGGCTGAGAGGGGACCTGGTAGCAGCTTACCGCTATACTATGGGAGTACATCAAGGGCTTGGTGAGCAACTGTTCAGCAGGGCACCCAAAGGGAAAACCAGGAGTAATGGCCACAAACTCCTGGAAGATTGATTCAGGCTCAACATTAGGAAAAACTTCACAGTCAGGGTGTCCAGACTGTGGAATAAGCTCCCTCCAGAGGTGGTGCAATCGCCTACCCTGGAAATCTTCAAGAGGAGACTGGACAGTCACTTTGCTGGGGTCACCTGACCCCAGTTGTCTTTCCTGCTTAGTGCAGGGAGCTGGACCCAAGGTCCCTTCCGGCCTTACAATATATGAATCTTTGGTCACATCCCTAAAGGATTCTCTCTTTTGTATTAAAATGACTGAAAGAGAGAGCTTTTGCTGAAGAGTCTATCTGGTCCTTTACATAACTAATGAAATTAAATTTGTCTTGTAATGACACCATAGTATCAAAACAGCATCAGACTGAACTTCTTGAGTCATGTTTTATGCTCTTACTGGAAATATGTCCCTCTTAGTCCTCTGACAGGGCGGACATGTTGCTTGTGCTTGTCACCAAGCTAAGAGTTGTATACCAGGCATGATGTGTAAAAACCTTCCGTGTTTCCATAATTGAAACATGGGGATAGTTTGAAGAGGTATTTTTAGTAGCTGCCATTTCAGATGTTTGCAATCTAGTGGGCATTTTTCTTTTCAATAAGCTGACGGTCAATATTTTTGCTCTTATACAGCATAATAGGTGTCCTTTGTGCTGTAGACATAAAATGTGGCAGGATGTTGGGGAAGAAGGGCAGCAGCACTTTTACCATGCTGAATTGTTGCACCCTCAGCAACACTTCAGAACTTTTTTATTATATAATGTGAAATGGAGTTGACTTATGCAGGAATTATTGACAGGTACTCTTCAGATAAACCAGTGACTGTCATGTCAGGTAAAATGATGGTGACAACTTGTATAAAGTATAGAGAAGAGATGTAGAGAAGACTGGGAACTTTCATTTGAAGCAGTGCCTTTCACTAATGCTATAATCACAGGAGAGTCTGGTGACCTGAAGTATACAATGGACACTTGCAAATACATTTTCTGTGTACTGACCCTGCCTGTCTTGTGTATCTGCATTATGACCTTTGGATAGTTAACTGAACAAAACTGTAACTGCCTTTTGCTTTCCATGGAAAAATAATTCTTGAGACGTTGGTTGTCAAAATCCTATGGCCTGTGTGCGTATGTGGCCTTTTTATCAGAACTTCTCTTCTAATTTTTATGAGCCTTTAACTACCTGAAGGGTGGTTCCAAAGAGGATGGAGCTGGACTGTTTTCCGCGGTGACAGATGACATAACAAGGAGCAACGGTCTCAAGTTGCAGCAGAGCAGGTTTAGGTTGGATATTAGGAAAAACTTTCTCACTAGGAGGGTAGTGAGGCTTAGGAACAGGTCACTTAGAGAGGTGGTGGAATCTCCATCCTTGGAGGTTTTTAAGGCCCAGCTTGACAAAGTCCTGGCTAGAATGATGTAATTGGAGATGGTCCTGCTTTGAGCTGGGGGTTGGACTAAATGACCTCCTGAGGTCCCTTCCAACCCTAATTTTCTATGATTCTAAGAAGCTTTTAAATTTAGTCTGTTGCATTAACAGGATTACATGAATTAAATTTTAAATGGAAGCAGATGTGGCATCTCAATTTTAAGTGTGTTTTTTTTAATGTATCATTTGAAGGGAAAGTTACTGAAATTGTTAATACTGAGGAAGTAGTCACAGTTTGAAACTGCTGAACTTTGTACTGATTACTTCAGTATGTAAGATTTTAGTGTAATTGGCAAAGCTATTAATGTGAGTCTCCTTCCTCTTAATTTAGCAAGTGGTTCTATGGATTCATGTTTAATGATCTGGAGCATGAGACCCCAAATGAGAGCCTATCGCTTTGTGGGTCACAAAGGTGCAGTGATGTGCGTTCAGTTTTCACCTTCCGGCCATCTGGTGGCATCAGGCTCCAGAGACAAAACAGTTCGTTTGTGGGTTCCAAGCATGTAAGTATATCCTGCTTCTAGCTTTGTTGTTCTCAGCTGTGGTATTGCATTTCTCTTTGGTAGGAGTTCTTCAGTGTCGGGGTTGGTCATTTACATTGAGGGAAGAATACAAGGTAATGCAACATGGTGATTTCCTGCATAGGGCTTTTACAGGAAAGTAAATGTAGTCCTAAAGAAAGGACCAATGAGGTTGATGTAGAGCAGGGTTGGGCATTTATTTTGGGTGAAGGGCCATTTAATGAGTTTTGGTGAGCTGTTGAGAGCCACATGGGTAACCCCGACCTTTTACAGTTGCCCCAACCCCTGGTTGCCATCTTGAGACTGGAAGTCCCACCCCTAACCCCTGACCTTTGCCCCCAGAGGTCCTTCCCTTTGCCTCCAGAAATACTGGGGGGTTGCCATCTTAGAACCAGAAAAAAAACAAATAATGCACTAAAAGTCAAACACCTAATATAACATATTATAATTTTATTACAAAAAATATTTTTGTCCTGATTTGTGTTTGTGTAATCTATATAGAGGTGGTTGAATAATAACTCAAAAAATCTTAGTCTTGCAGTGTGGGGGGATGTGGGGCCAGGGCTGCGTGTGAGGGGTGGGGTGATGTGTGGGTGGGTGTGTGTGTGTAGTGTGGCAGGATGTCTAGTGTGGTGGGGTGTGTGGTTATGGGTGTATGTGGGGGGTGTTGGGTGTGTGTGCTGGGTGTGTGTTGGGTATGGGGGTATATGTGGGTGTGTGGTAGGGTGTGTGTGTGTGGGGTGTGTCAGTACACCTGGTGGGGTTTGGGTTTGTGTGTGCCTGGTGAGGGGTGTGTCTATGTCTGATGGGCTTGTGGGGGTGTGTGTGTGTGTGTGGTGTGGATGTCTGTATGAGGGGTGTGGGTATCTTTATGGTAGGCTGTCGGGATAGGTGTGTGAGGGGGGCTGTGGGGGTGTGTGGCTGTGTGTGGGGGAGCATAGGACATATTGGGGGTTGTGTATATGCGGGATGTTGTGGGGGCAGGGTGTGGGGCTTGTGGGGTGTGAGGGAGGGTGGGGGGGGGGTGGGAACCCCACACACTCCCCCCCATGGCACAGCAGCAACAGGTGGGGTGCTCGGGGTGCTTGTGCCTAGTGCAGACACTGGTGCCTGGCAGGGCATGGCTCTGGCCAGTGCTGCACATCACAGTGAGGAGAACAGGCCCCTGCTGGGCAGTCTATATTGTTCATGATATACTGCCTGAGACTGACTTAATTAATGAAGTGTTGATGTAGGTCAGGGGCAGGCAAAATGTGGTTTGCAGGCTGCATCCCGCCCGCTAGGTACTTTCATCCAGCTTTTGCGCCCACTAGGGTGAGAGTGGGGTGCCCACATGTGTGCCCACCCCCAACTTACCCTATTACGCCTTGCTCCCACTCTTGTGGGCAGAAGGGCCTGGCCCTGCTAGCACTGGGTGGAACGCTGCTGCAGGCTTCCCTGGCTTCCTGCTTCCAAGCACCAGGTAGGGAAGAGGGGGAGGGGGGTGGAGCTGCAGCTAGGCTGGAGCTTGGGGCTGGGGCTCAAGCAGCCCCAGTAGGCAGCATGGATGGCATCAGCAGCAGGCAGGCTTGGCCCAGGTGCCTGGCTCCGGCCAGTGCTGCACATCGTGGCAAGGAGCGCAGTCCCCCGCTGCGCAGTCTCTATCACTGGAGCTTCCTGCAGTCATGGCTTAGGAAGGAAGTCCCATATTCTGGAGCTGGCTGTGTTGGGGAAGGCAGCTGGTTCCAGTGCATGGGACTTGCATGGATGGCATCAGCAGCAGGCAGGCTTGGCCCAGGTGCCTGGCTCCGGCCAGTGCTGCACATCGTGGCAAGGAGCGCAGTCCCCCGCTGCGCAGTCTCTATCACTGGAGCTTCCTGCAGTCATGGCTTAGGAAGGAAGTCCCATATTCTGGAGCTGGCTGTGTTGGGGAAGGCAGCTGGTTCCAGTGCATGGGACTTCCTTCACAAGGAAGCTGAGCCTTCCTGCTGCTGATGCTGTCCCTGCTGCCTGCTGGGGCTGCTCGCCATTAGGGGGAGGGGGGGGGGGGGGGGGGGGGGGGGGGGCCCACCACCCTCCCTCACATCTACTCCCTGTTCAGTTGAGCTTCCCGCTGCCACTGCCACCCTGGGTGCAGGCATTAGCCGCACCGCCTGCTGCTGCCCCAGGGGGCAAGTGTTGGGGGACGTCCCTGTACCCTACCCAATACCTACCACAGTATTGCCTGCATTCACTGCAGAAGAGGACAAATGTGTTCCAGAGCCACACACCCACACCCCACAAACTCCACACAACCCCCTAACATATCCTGTGCCCCTCCAGTCACCCAGAGAGCATGCGCATATGTGCAACAGGTCATGTATGTGCACCCTCAATCATTTGAACACCCTTGCACTGTTGTGCACGCTGTTTTTGCATGTGCATACTTGTGGGTCGTGCGCTCTCACTTGCTCACGTGCTTGCTTGCACATGCTTTTTGTCACTCATGCACGTGCTCTTGTCACTGCCATGTGCACTCTGTCTCTCGCGTGCTGTCTCTGTCTCTCGATTTACATCCCACCTTATCCAGTCTTTACAGGAAATGACCCACAGCCGAATTCCCCAAACAACATACCAAAACCTGAAAATGCCCACTCTCAGTCATGCTTCACAACTGCTGCCACATTGCCCAAACCTTCACACACGTAAAATCTCCTGCCAATCTGAACTATGCCTCCCAACTGTCACTTGTATCCAGATACATGATACCTTTTCCCACCCGCCCCTGCTCCACCACCCTGTCTCAACCCCAGAGAAGACTCTTCCTCCAGTCTGCCATCTGGGCCCACACTCCCCTCTCCTACAGAAGGGCTGGAGCAGTCACTCTTCTCCTTCCCCCAAAAATACCTAACTCTTTTTCCTCCTCACCACAAATGCACACAAACTCCAAAGATCCCTAACAAAGTAAAAGAAGAAAGAAAAGGCATATTTGGTTGTCCTTGTTTCAGTCATTGCCAAAGGGTATCCTTAAGGATAGCTTTATAGCAGTGCCTGCCCAGGCAGTTCTGCTGGGTATGTAGGGCCTCCAGGATGGCTGGGTTCTTCTTCTTCCTTTGAGTGGCTGAGATGGTGTCTGGGCTTGGCCCCAGCCCCTCCCCCCAGAGGGGAGTGGGGTTTGGGGAGTGATTGTAGCAGTTTCTTAGGTCAGGCTGAAGATTCTCCTTTTACTATTCTATTTCACTTAGTGGATGACTAAAGTGTGGTTTGAGACAAACTTTTAGTTCTCCAACTACTGTGTAAGTGTGATTCTGTTACCTCTGGTGGACACTTAAATGCTCCCATTTTAGGGATAGGATTGTCCTCCAGAGGTGTGCAGATGCCTCCCTAGCTAGAAACGGATGTCTTCAGTGGAGCACTCATGTCGTGGCACAGTTGATTGCGCTCCGGGGATGTCCATAGACTCTTTTGTCTATTGATTTAGCCCACCCAGTGTTGGAGGGCTGTTTAGGACTGAGAAAACAATGGACTATTTGCTACTGAACTTCGCTTAGCTTTGTGCTTCAGCCTTGCCAGGAAAATGTTCTTTGCACTACTTGGAAAATGTAAAAATGAGGGAGAACTAATGTTGATTAAAGTCAAGTTTTGTACCTTGTCTGATTGATTGTTTCGCTTCATTTTGTTTTTTGTTTTGCTTGATTTAGTTCCCTTCATTACTACAGATCAGAAATACCTGTTGCACAGGGGTCTACTGAAGGTGGCTGGCCAAGGAGGCAGCCAGCCGATTTTCGTGGGCACGTCCCAGGGCTGGCAGCTGCTTTCATGGGCTGAGTGTGATGGGTTCCCCCCATGCCTCTGCCAAAGAGACCCCAGCAGTTCTGCTCCTCCCCAGAGATGGCCACGTGACTCAGAACCATAGCTTAATTACAAGAATTAATTCATGTGTTAAGTGTGGATTAATGGCTTCCTTGGGCTTAATCACGGTAATTAAACTGCAGTTCTGGAGGCAGCAGGCTCCATCTGCAGGCGGCAGGCTCTGTGCTTTTGGCAGGGTTGCTGGGGGGGGGGCCCCCCCCCCCCCCCCCCAAAAAAAAAAAAAATGAGGGCGCGTTTCACGGCAGCCCCCCCCACCCCCCCCCCAAAAAAAAAAAAAATTAGCAGCAAGTAGAGAAGCAGTACAGTCTTGGAGCAAGGAAGGGAGAGGGGACAGAGCTGGGGGAATGCCTGCTGTGGGGTGCCTCCACATGCCGTTCCTGATGAATGGATGGCGAGGCTGAGCTGGGTTGTCTGCCTGCAGTGCAGCGTAGCTTGCAGGTGCCTGGGTTCTGCCTCTGACTTGGTGGCCTCACACCCTACTGGCCCTGGGCATCACACTCGGCACAGGTCGGGGACCATGGTGGCAGGGATGTCTCTTCCTGCACTGCCCTGGTTGGCCCATGCTTTCCTGCTGCTATGACCTTGGATGCCAGTAGCAAGGTGGGAGCTGGGGTGCCAAGGCTCTGTCGCACCTTTCCTGGGTCCTGGTGAAATGTTGGGGGATGCAGCAGATTCTGCCCGCTGCTCATCTTGGGCTGGCCAAAAACAGACTGGAGCTGCTGTGCAACCCCTCCCATGCTGTCACCACCCTGGCCTGGCTGTCAGTTACTTGTGGTGTTGCCACTCCCTGCAGCTGGGTCTGGCCATGCCCTGCCTCACCCCCTTCCATCTCTCCTGAGAGCAGCCTTGTACTTCCCCCACCCCCTCTACCTTCCCTCCATGATCCAAGACTGCAGGGCTTCTCTGCTTCTTGGTAATGTTTATTTATTTAACAAGCCTGCCAAAAGTGCGGAGCCAATGCTTTTTCACGGAACCCACCTGAATTCTTAGTTTCTGTGAAAATCACACCATTGTGATTTTTGGTAGGTTTCTACTGATGCGTATATCTCAGATGAGACTATGTAGGAAAGTTTTAACTACACTATCTGCTGTGATATTAATTGGTTTTGAATGCACTCCCATTTAGTTGAGTGATTATTTGAGGGTTAACAATCCTCATTTAATAGTCTCTTTTCCTTATTGCTGTGAAAGCGAAGATCTGATGACAACCCAGTCTTTGTTGTTCTTATCTTTGTATTCTGATTCTTGCATGAGTAATAGGAATAGTTTTGAGATGAGTATTTAATTTATACTATTAAATCTCTCTCTTTTTATTACAACTTTGTGTAGGCAATTTAAGATTGTGTTGCCTTAAATTAGCATGGGCTCAAATAACATAACACAAAAGAAATCTGTTTAGCTTTGTACAGTGTCTAAACATTTGCCTGTTCAGGAGGTCAGCAGATTTTCTTAACCTCAAATGGATATAATTCCCAAAGAAAAGGTGGTTAAAATCCTTTTGTTAGTATACATAGGCTTCTTATTCTTTGGAGTGTATGCTGTTTTCTCTTGCAATTTAATTTAATAACACTATCTTTGTTATACTCAGCAAAGGGGAATCTACTGTCTTCAAGGCTCATACGGCAACTGTAAGAAGCGTTCACTTTTCCAGTGATGGCCAGTTTTTAGTTACAGCTTCTGATGACAAAACTGTCAAAGTTTGGACACTTCACAGACAAAAATTTCTTTTCTCACTGAACCAGCACATAAACTGGGTTCGCTGTGCTAAGTAAGTATATCCTGCTAGCAAGTGGTAGTGGTGATAGTTTATGCTTAAAAATAAAAATGGAATTCATACTCCATGTGGGTTTTTAAAAAAATAAACCAAAATTGTCTGTTATTGTTTATGCTTCTAAAAATCAGTCTTGACCTGATAGTGTTTGATGCATGCAGTGATCCTTGCATCCCTCACCTCCTGGCCCTTTCTTCCCAGCCTGTTGATAAATCCCATATCACTGTTATTTTTGTTTCTTTTAATGATCTTTTGCGTAGAAGAGGAACTGATTGTTTTGTTGTCTGTTTTTTCACTTTTGCTTCTCTTAGCCTTATCTCAAAGTTGTGAATGCAAGCAGAAAGTGGTCTTAAAGGTGCTTATCTTGATGTATCCGATTATCTTCAGGCTTGTTATCCATTTATGTAGAAATTATCTGGTCTTTTGACTTTCTTTCACTATATGAAGGGGGAAGACTTTATCAGAAACCTCACCTCATGGAGGAAATCGCAAGAATTGTAGATGATGTGAACATTTTGTGTTAAAGGGCTTTCACAAAGAATCCTTGTAATGGACCCATTAACAATGATCAGTTATGATCCTGTGGCTGAAAAGTAGACAACTTAATGTTGAGATTCTGTGCAAAATGGGGTGAAAAAATATTCTAACAGCAAAGACTGTGCTTTAAAAAAAGTCAGCTTGGTATTGTTTCAGTTCTAACAGGGGTGTGTTTGTGTGTGTAAGACCCACTAACATATATGTAAAATAATCCTACAGTTACATTTTGGAGTTCTAGGCCCCTGGTAAATGTGTTACAATTCAAAGGTATCATTAATATGTTAATTCCTATGCAAATAGTAACAAGTCTATATGTGCAACTGTTTTTTGTTGTTATAAAGTGGATGCCCAGGGTGGATAAAAAATCAAGAATTAAAAAAAAAAATTTAATGGATTTTTTTTAAAATTGAAATTGGAATTTTTTTTACTTAATTGTATTTTTTAGATGCTTGAAAAAAACCCTTTATAAAGACAGGCTTAATTTAAGATATGTTAAAGTTTAAATATATAAAAATGGAATAGGGATTATAACTTCTAATTATATACTATTTCAGACAATATATTCATGTAACCTTTTTAGAAAAGTTTTATAAATAGGTTATAACAGGCCATGGATTATATTAAGGGCCCAATGTTATGGGGTTCCCAGAGGCTTCTCTATAAATTAGTAAAGATTAAAGAAAACCACTCAAGCCAATGGACCCAGTGTTCAGTCCAGAAGATCTCATTAAGCATCTCTGCTTAGTTTCACTTTTCAAACTGTGAATTTGTGCCTCTTGAGTTAACATCCTTGTTAACAGCAGTATATGGAGATGAGAGATAACAAACCTGATTTACCTACCCATCAGCTCTATTTTCTCTCTGCAAATATTTTAAGTTTCTCATGTTGACCTGGCTGAAATAGTCTATTTAATTTTTGTTAAAAACACATTTCATATTTATAACTAAAATAGTTAAAAATTCAAAAATACATGTATTTGTTTTGTTAAAATAATTATATATATTTGTTGTTGAAGAAAAATATTCAAGATATAAGCTTGTCGTTTTAGTTAAAAAAACAACAGACATTTAAATTGTTTTATTTGTGATGGTTGTTGTTGTCCTCATAATACAGTGTGGTAAAAATATCCCCCAAATACCCATGATTAATCTAGTGAATTGGCGATTGTTTACCTCCCAGTGACTTCACAAGTATCTGCTTCAATTAGCTTTGATAAATAAAATAACCAAATCATAATTCAGTTTTCTGCTGTATCTGCAAAATTAATCTGATAAAATATCAAAATAAATCACTGCTTTAAAATGTATGGCATGTACTTTCTAAAAATGAAACTTGCATCCATCTCTGAGTTGTGAATAGTATTAAGGTCATATCAAACAAAAATGCACTTTTTGTAGAAAACAATAATTAAATTGAGGCTTCCTGACCAGTGATTTAAATCATGATTTAAATTGATTTGATTTAAATAAAATCCACTCTCCACTAGCCACACAGATATTCCATAACATACGTGGACATATTTTGTGACTCATCCATATGGCACCATAATTTGCAAGTATAGCACCCTGAAGCCAATACTGACAAGCAGCTGATTGTCAGCATTGGCATTGGGGTGAGGGTTGGTCTTGGGACCTGAATAGCCCCAGTGCCAAATTCTGAAAGTGGGCTGCTGGGGAAGCAAATTGCAGGGTTGGGGGAGTAGAGGTTCCAAGAGGTTCCCTCTGCTGGGATCTTGAAAATACCTCTGCCTAACAGTCTTTCTGAGGGGGCTGTAGGGCAAGATATTTCAAAGTGCCAGGTTGTGGGGAACTCTGGGTCTCCCCATGAACCAGAAGATTGACTGCTTTGCCCTGCAGCTCCCTGGTGCTGCAGAGCAAGGAAGGCATTTCAGACATTGTAGCCACAGGGACTACAGCTCCTACAGGAGCCACAGCTCCTGTATTGAGGAGATGCTTCCAGAGTTCCCATATGCCAGGGATATCTAGAAACCAGGTGGGTAGCTGGATTGCATACATGGTTTTTAAAAGTCCTGGTATACCAGGACCCTTGGGTTGGGGAGCCTCTCCTTGATTCAGGGGTCCTTATACACTGGGAACTTTTTAAAACTACATGTGCAGTCCAGCTGCCTTTGTTTTTAGAAGTCTATCAGGCCCCGGGTTCCTCTATCCCAGAGTCCCAGCAGAGAGTTCATGTTTTCCAGGTTCAAGACTGGGGAGAGTCAATAGATTCCTTCCTTCCAGCACTTGCAAACCCATGCCTCAGGTTCCCTGCTGGTCGTGGTGTGATTGGGATCTGGTGTGGTATGGCAGGAGGCACAATTGTTGGATCAGCGGTTAGATCCAATTGCACCATTAAGTGCAGCCCCCTCCCCAGTGAAACTAACATTCCTACTATTGCTACCACATTTTGATGGCAGTATGCATTGGGAAAAATAAAAATTAGGTGACATCAGGTATAGCATATCTCCTTATTGCATGTGTGGCTGGCGTTCTGTCTTACTGTGACATCAGTTGGACAGTTCACATCTTTAAAGTCTTTGGACAATGGAAGACTAAAGTTGTACTAATCTGGAATCTTCAAATGATATTTTTGGGGGTTTTTTTGTTATTGCCTTTTTTTGGTCTTCTCATGTGAGCATGAACCAGAAATATAGGCATTTGAGAATACTTAAATTGCTTTCTAGGTCAACCTAGAAAATGGTTTGAAACACCTTTTTTTTTCATTTCCAGGCCCTGCTTCAAGTAGGACAAATAATTCAAAGATCATTGAAGATGGATAACTTTGGGTTTCTTAAGTTACATATACAGATAGAAGGCCAGGTTCTGCTATTTTTGTCCATTAGCTAATCTTGTTAATGTTGCTTGAGTCGCTTGAAGAGGGCAGCGTACCTCAGCATGTGTACCATTATATAAATTTGGCCCTTGCTATCTGAAATTCTCTTTGATACTCCTTAAATTTCTCATGACTTCTGTCTTTGTTTTAGATTCTCTCCTGATGGATGCCTAATAGTATCTGCTAGTGATGATAAAACTGTCAAACTTTGGGATAAGACCAGCAGAGAATGTATACATTCTTTTTGTGAGCATGGGGGGTAAGTATCGAGGCAATGCACATCAACTTAGGACTTCCAGACTACTTCCTTTACAGCAGGTACAATCATGACTAATTGTACAGTCATGTAGGTTTAATCTTCATTAAAGTGATGCCTTTTTTTCAGCAGTTGTTCCTTTCTGGCCCCTTGCACTTGAAAATTACATAAATGCTAGTTTACACCAAGTGGATTTCTTTGCCACCCACTTTCTGTAATGTGTGTTGGGAGGCCACACATTCTGTAATGTGTTTTGGGAGGTGTGACAGGTGGCTAAAATGATTTTGAAAACATGGTGTACTGTATCCAAATTGTTGCTGCGACGAAGAAATGGATTTCATTGTAATTGGTCTTTATTTCTAGAGAACCCAAAGTGATCAGAATCTTGCTTCCTTTTCTTTTCTTTGGTAAAACTTTCTTTTAAATTCATGCTTTTCACTGGCTTAAAGTAAGTTGTCACTGAATCTGAGTGTAGCAGGACACTAAGGTGCCTGCTACAGAGAGTGCCCGGAGGGCTCCTCAGGTGCTGGTTGCCAGGGCAACGGGAGGCAGCAAACGACCCACACCTGCCAGCGATCAGCTGGCTATAAAGGGGCAAGGCCTGGCTCTTATGGAGGGGGAGCTGAGGCCGCAGGCAGTTTTTCCCTACCGGCATCTAAGACAGAAGGAGCTCCCTGCCAGCAGCCAGAGAGAGAGAAGCTCCTGGAGCAATGATGCGAGGAGAAGCCTGACTGCAGGTACCGCTAGCAGGGTAAAGGGTAGCAGCTCCAAGATGTCTGAGCAATGTCGTTACTGCCAGGTGGCTTAGGTTTAAGTTGTAGCCAAGAGGCTTGAGTTTATGTTGCAGTTTAACACCGGTGGTTTGGGTGAGGCTATAAGGGGATGGAGGAGGCCTCATAGGGGACTCACGGTAAAGTGAGGACCCCAGTCCCAGTGAGGGCATGGAGTTCAGGGGTACAGACCCCAGCTCCAGAGCTCAGCCCTGTGAGAGGGCAACCTTGCAGAGGGGAGAGCTCAGCCCGGTGAGAGGGCAACCTTGCAGAGAAGGCCCCAGTGTGGGCCCAGAGAGCCCCAGGAGAGGGGCAACCTTGCAGAGAAGGCCCCAGTGTGAGCCCGGAGAGCCCCAGGAGAGGGGCAGCCTTGCAGAGAAGCCCCCAGTGTGGGCCCAGAGAGCCCCAGGAGAGGGGCAGCATTACGGAGAAGCCCCCAGTGTGGGCCCGGAGAGCCCCAGGAGAGGGGCAGCATTACAGAGAAGCCCCCAGTGAGGGCACGGAGAGCCCCAGTGAGAAGGGCAGTAGTACGGAGAAGGCCCTAGTGAGAAGGGTGGCATACAGAGAAGGCCCGCAAGGCTTAGATACGCAGGACACCCGGCGCAGGAGAACTGTGGCCAAGTGGAGGAGAGGTAGCCTCCCTATAAAAACACATATCATCAAAGTCGTGGCGGGCGAGAATAGGAGGGTGCAAGTCCGAAGCTTGGCGCAGAGGAGGTGGCAAGGACCAGCACGGCGACCCTGCCGTCCCTCCTGTTACACTGAGTTTGGAATCCGTTCTTTTTAGATTTTCATAGTATTATTTGACACATTCCTTTTAATATATACTATTTACACAGGTATCTTTATTTGGGGTAGCCTGAAACAGTCCTTAGAATTTAGAATCATTACATATATTATCTCCATTGTGCCTTGGTATGGTGTTTTTTCAAAAACCTTTCAGTACACATTTTCTTTAAAATGCTGATCTGAGAATGCTTGGCTTCCTAAGCATTCATTAATACATGATGGGCTGAAATGAAACATGAGGACGGGGTGAGCAGAATATGGCCCCAGAGCCTGATTTGGCCCGCCAATGGATTTCTTGGTCCACAGGTAGGCAGCCACCAACTCATGGGATCTGGCCCTTGGGTGGCTGGCAGATCTAATTGCCATATGGTGCTGGGCAGGTGGCCTTCCGCCATGCAGAGCAAGTAGGCAGGACTGTTTCCACTCAGTGCTGATGCAGTGGTGTCAGCTATGGACCCGGGCAGATGCCCCAATCCCCACCTGGAACCTGTGGGGTGCATCCATAGCTGACACTGGCACCTGCCCAAGGTTGCTTCTGCTGGATTGGGCAGGTGGTAGCATAAGTTGCAGACAGGGCTGACAGGTTCCAGGTGGGGATTGGAATTGGGGCATGCTACAGCTCCAGGTGTGGAGGGAGAGAGAGAAAAAATCGTGGCATGCTATAGCTCCAGGGAGGGAGGGGCAGGGGGAGAGAGATGGGGCCCTTGACAGGACCCCAAAACTGATTTAAGCCAAAATAATTTCCCACACTTGCACTAGTATGATTCATTTTCTGTATTTGATTTTTTTCTTTGCAACTCTTCCTACGCTGTTACAGAAGGACCTTTTGATCCTCTAATGTACTTTTATAATTCTGTAAGTGGCCTGCTAGACCATTGAATCTAGTTCTGCTCTTTACAAGCAATAATTTACCCAAGGTGCCCTCAAATATAATATTTCAAACAAGTACAAGACATCTTACACAAAGCATCTAAGTACACCTATAACACACTATCAGTAAAAAGCAAAGGAGACACTGGCACTGCAAATGCTTTGCTGCTGAAATAATAGAGAAGTTGTTTGTCCTTATGGGCACCTATCCACTTGACAGACCTCTGCTCCAACATATTCTAATGAGTACACGCCAAATAGGGCATTAAACTGAGATCACCAGAGGATGGGCCAACAACTAGTACAAGCCCAAGAAATGGCAACCGTGCAACCAGCGTACCAGGGAACAATAGGAAGCATGCTCTGAGACCATCTAGAAGTCAGGTTTTTCTGCAGCCCACCAGGAGCCTACGGCCTCCAATGGCAGGGTTAGTTGCTTGTACACGAATGCCAGGAACATGGGGAACAAGCAGGAGGAACTGGCCCTCCTGCAAACCAACAAGCAATATGATCTCATTGGGATTACAGAGACCTGGTGGGACTCCACCTATGATTGGACCACAGGTATAGAAGGCTACACCCTGCATAGAATGGATTGTGTTGGGAAGAAGAATGGGGGAGTTGCTGTCTACTTGAAGGAACATCACACTTCCCTAGAAACAGAGATTGGCAACAAAGAAGGGTGACTTGAGACCCTCTGGGGGAGCATGGGGAATGGGATTTGACTATAGGAGTTTACTGCAGACCTCCAAACCAAGATGAAGAGCTTGACCAGGAATTCTCTAGAAAACTGGCAGAGGCTGCAGACTCTTGGAGCATGGTCATCATGGATGACTTCAACTACCCAGGCATCTTGTGGGATGAACACACAGAACTTTCTCACTTGCATTGAAGAGCTCTATCTGATTCAAGAAGTCTACAGGCTGGCCAGGGGTAAGGCACTCCTAGACTTGGTTCTGGCCAAAGGGGACAATCCAGTGAGCAACCTGAGGAAACTGGGCGACAGTGACCATGAGATGATCACTTTCTCCATGCACCGTGAGACAGGAAAATTAGTCAGAAGGGTAGAAATCCTTGATTTTAGGAAAGCTGACTTCCACAAGCTTAGGAGATTGGTTGGCAAGGCCCTGCAGGACCATGGTCCAGTGAGGAAGGGAGTACAAGAAGAATGGTCGTTCCTCAAGGAAGCAATCTTAGGACCACAAAGGAAGTCCATTTCTTTTCATAAAAGCATCAAAAGGGCTGTGACCCCCTTGCCTCAATAGGGAAGTCATGGACCTCCTGAAATGAAAAGGAGAAGCTTACAAGGGATGGAAGTCGGTAATAACCACCAAAGAGGAGTACTCAACAATAGCCTGCACCTTTAGGAAGCAGATTAGGAAATCAAACGCACAAACCAAATATAAATTGCCAACTGGAGTCAAGGACAACAAAAAGTCCTTCTTAGATGTGTTAGGAAGTCAGAGGAAAAAATAAGGGGAAAAGGGCCCCCAATGAACTAAATGGGACAGCTGATAACTGACACTCAGGACAAAACCAAACTCCTAAATGAATACTTTGTGTCAATATTCCACCAGTCCAAGGGTGTTAGCTGCCTTGACAGGTTAAAGAATGATCTAGGTGTGGGTGATCACCCTCTCATAGTTGGCTAAGATCTTGTGGGGGAGCACCTAGAGAGGCTGAATATCTACAAGTCAGCAGATCCGGTTGAACTATACCCGAGAGTTAAAAGAACTAGCCGGCATCATCACACAACCTATGGCAAAGCTATTTGAAAACGCATGGTGCCCGGGAGAGGTCCCAGAAGACTTGGAAGACGGTCACTGTTGTTCCTATCTTTAAGAAAGGGAGAAAGGAGGCCCCAGGGAATTACAGGCCAGTCAGTTTGACCTCAATCCCTGGTAAAATCTTGGAAAAAATTATTAAATAATCTATTATTGATAGGCTAACAGAAGGCAGTATTCTAAAGGACAGCCAACATGGCTTTGTGGGCAGGTCATGCCTGACCAACCTCATTTCCTTCTGCAGTCAGGTAACTTGCCACCTGAAGAGGGGAAATGAAGTTCATGTCATATACTTGGACTTCAAAAAGATCTTCGATTTAGTTTCCCATGATGTCCTTATAGTAAAAGTGAGAAAATGCGGCCTTGACTACTTTATGGTCCAGTGGCTAGGTAACTGACTCCGTGGTAGGCTTCGGAGAGTATTAATAGATGGAACTGAGTCATCATGGTAGAAGGTGACCAGTGGTGTCCCTCAGGGTTCAGTACTTGGGTCAATGCTTTTTAACATGTTTATCAATTATTTGGATTCGGGTATTAAAAGTGAACTGGCAAACTTTGTGGAGAACACCAAATTATGGGGGTGTGGTCATGGTTGAGGACAGGCTGGGGATACAGGCTGACCCGGACAGGCTTGAGAGGTGGGCAGATCTCAACCTGATGATGTTTTATACTGAGAAATGTAAAGTGCTCCATTTGGAGAGAAATAATCCACAACACACTTACTGGCTTTGCAGTGCTGCGTTTGCCAGCAGAACTGAAAGAGATCTGGGGGTGGTGATAGACCACAGAATGAACATGAGCCACCAATGTGATGCCATAGCTGGCAGACAGAATCAAACACTGGCATACATCTACTGATGCATCTTGAGCAAGACTAAGGATGTCATTCTGTTCTATTCGGACTTGGTGAGACTGCAGCTGAAGTACTGTGTCCAGTTCTGGACGCTGCACTTTAGCAAGGATGTGGTGAAGCTCAGGAGAGTCCAAAGGAGGGCCATGCGTATGATTAGAGGAGGTCTGGAGAACAGGTCATATTGGTGGTGGCAGCAGTCCCTTGGAGTCGAGGATGATGTCCGTCAGGCTTGATGGGTCCTCAGGTGATTGAGGAGCCCATTTCTGGATGCACACATTCTTCGGCAGGGGGGGCCGTGTTGTTGCGTGGGGGAGTGGGATTCGCAGTCCCGGGTTGGTCTCCTTCTCCTTCCTCCGCTGCCACAACTCCACCTCAGTATCAAGTCATTGGGCCTCAAAGTGGTGTGCACCTTGATGGACCAAGTGGTGCCACACAGAATGGTCAGCAGCTTGCTCCTCCCAGCTGTTAGTGTTGATGCCTCCATGCTTGAGGATGACCTTGAGCGTGTCTTGGTACTGTTTCTTTTGGCCACCTTTTGAGCACTGGCCAATAGAGAGCTGGGAAAAAAGAATCTGGCAAGGGAGGCCATTCTTGGACATCTGGACGCAATGGCCCATCCATCAGAGTTGATTTCTCGAGAGCAAGGCTTCAGTGTTGGTGGACGCAGCTTCATGGAGGATGCTTGCACTGGTCCAGCAGTCCTTTCATTTGATCCCCAGGATTAAACGCGAGCATTGCTGGTGAAAGGTCTCTAGGATCTTAATGTGGGTGGTGTTGGTAGATGGTCCAGTTTGCACTGCAGTAGAGGAGGGTGGTCAGCATGACAGCCTTGTAAACCAGGACCTTTGTCGACTTCCAAAGGTCTCTATTTTTGAAGACGCATTGTCACAGATTGAAGAAGTTGACCAGGTGCTGGACTTCTTCATCGATGGTAACCCATTGAGAGAGGTGGCTGCTGAGATACAGAAAGTGCTCCATGTACTCTAGAGCCTCCTTGTCCATGTAGATAGTGTGAGGGATGTTCAGCTGGCCTGGGGAGGGTTGGTGAAGAACCTTCATCTTGGCGACTTTCAAGGACAGGCTGAGTCTCTTATATGAATCTTTGAAAAGATCTAAGGTCATTTGCACATCCTGTGCAGAGTGAGCCATCACGCAGCAATCATCGCAAACTGAAGGTCATGGATGTCCTTGGTGGTGAGTTTCATTTTTGCCTGGAAGCACCCAAGATTGAAAAGTTTCCCATCCAGTTGATACTGGATACTGATGCCGGATGGTAGATCATCTCAGATGAGGTGGATGATGATGGTCAGGTAGATGGTGAGCAGGGTGGGGGCGATCACACGACCTTGTTTGAACCCGATCCGGATGCAGAAGGCATTGGTTTCAGATCTTCCACTCAGGACAGTGGTGGTCACATCATCATGCAGGAGCTTCAGCACAGTGACAAGCTTCAGCAGGCAGCCAAGGCATTGAAGGATGGTCCACAGCGCTTCACGATTTAAGGAACTGAATGCCTTGGTCAGGTAATGATGGTGAGGAACAGTTTTTGATTTTGCTCCTGACATTTTTATTGGATCTGCCTGGCAACGAAAACCATGTCCGCAGTGTCCCGGGATGGTTGGAAGCCGCGCTGGGTTTCTGTAAGGATGACTTCGGCAACAGGATGAAGGTGGTTCAGGAGGATACGGGCCAGGATTTTACCCGCAATGAACAGTAGGGAAATCCTCTTGTAGTTCCCACAGTCAGATTTGTCTCCCTTCTTGTAGATGGTCATGATGATCGCGTTCTTGAGATCCCTGGGCATGTCCTCTTCATCCCAAAGGCAGAGGATAAGCTGCTGGAGTTGTGATACGAGTCGAAAGTCACCAGCATGGTAGACTTCTGTGGGTATACCATCTGGCCGTCAGGCTTCGTTGGTTTTTATCTGTTGGATGGCCCGCTTCAGCTCTCCGATGGTTGGTGGATCACCAAGAGAATCCACCGCAGGGCATTGCAGGACAGCTTGGAGGGTCTCCTCTGATACGGTGGACTCCCAGTTAAGGAGGAATTCGAAATGCTTCTTCCAATGCAGATGGATGGCATCATCGTCCTTGAGGAGCCAGCTGTCCTGTGATTGGAGGGGGTTTTGTCCAATAGAGCGAGGTCCATAGGTTGTCTTGTTAGCCTGGGAGAAGTTACACATGTCATTTTGATCGGCGTAGCCCTGGATCACGCGTGCCTTCTCCACCCACCAGTTGTTCTTCGTGTCATGGATGCATCACTGGACCTCAGCCTTCAGCTGGTGGTACACTTCCGTCTTTCACCAAGTTCATGGATGGCTTTGCCAGGCGACGAAGGCTGCACGCTTCCACTCACGGAGATTGTGGACCTGAGTGTCATTGGCACCAAAACCAGTCCTGGTTCCATCACGGTGTGAACCCAACAGTCCAGGAACAGGCGTCTCGGACAGCAGATATGAGTTGCTCCCAGTGTGCCTGGATGGAGAGATCATCAGCAGTAGGGACTTGCTTCAGTGCACTATACAATTTGGCCTAGAACTCCTTCTGCTGTCCAGGGTACTTCAGAGCTTTGAAGTTCAGCCGTCTCTGGGTGGTCTTCTGGGTCTTCCGGTGTCTTGGTGCCAGGCGGATGTTGATCACTGAGTGCACAAGTTGGTGGTCTGTCCAGCAGTCTTCATGGCCCTTGTGACTCGCACGTCCCTCAAGTGTCTACCTTGGACGATGATGTAGTCCAAGAAGTGCCAGTGCTCTGAACTCAGATGCCTCCATGTGGTCTTGAGCTGGTCTTTCTGGTGGAAGATAGTGTTTGTCACGACCAGGCCGTATTGGGCACATTTGGTCAGGAGCAGAATACCGTTGGCATTGGCCTTCCCTGCACCATTCTTGCCGATGGTTCCACTCCAGATTTCGTGATCACATCCAACCCGGGTGTTGAAGTCGCCCGGGAGAATGACCTTGTCATGCCTGGGGATGGAGGCAAGAGTGTTGTCGAGATCAGAGTAGAACTTTTCCTTGACTTCCTCATTGGAATCCAGAGTTGAAGTGTATGCGCTGACGACAGTGGCACGTTGGCTTTGGCTGAGGTGCAGGTGAAGGGTCATCAGCTTTTCATTGGCATTCAAAAGGAGTTCAGGGAGCACGTCAGTGATCTTGTTCCTGATGGCAAAACCAACTCTGTGCATATGGGGGTCGCGGTCTGGTTTCTCTTTCCAGAAGAAGGTGTACCCTCCACTGACCTCCCTCAGCTGTCCCTCCCCGGCAAGCTGGGTTTTGCTGAGAGCAGAAATGTTGATGTTGTGCCTTGCTAGCTCCCGAGCCACGATGGCAGTTCGTCTTTCTGGGCGATCGCTCTTTGGGCTGTTGATGAGCGTTCTCACATTCCAGGTTCCAAAGTTTAGCATTTTCTTATTTCAACCACAGGAATGGTGATCCCGCTGGGCGTGGTTTCCCAGCCAGGAGAGAGGGGGTAGCCTATTTTGGGAGCACCTTTTCTAGCCCCCTCCCCATCAGGGTGAGAAGAGTGTATCCTAAAAAGGACTGCTCAGTTGCGGATGCAGTTGCTGAAGGACACTACTGTCCAGACACAGGTGCCCGATGACCATTGCACATCCGCCTCCTGTGTGCAGATTCTTGGCTGGGGCCTCCAGATATCACAGTCCTGCCCCCGTTGCCAATCCTTCATCGCCACAGGCCTTTTGGACCTGACAGAAGCCTGCATGTTTAGCGTGGGGACTCCAGTGCGCAGTTGGGCCCACACAGTCTTGGCAGTTGGTGGCCAGGTTTAGTGGCACAAGATCAGCATTACTGAAGTTTTTCTTATTTTGTCCTCTTCCAGGAAGGGAAGGTATGAGATATCTAATGTAATATTATTGGAAGGAACTCATCCTTGTCTTTGACAAGTCATTTTTAATCTGTTGTTCTTCATAGGTTTGTGAATCATGTGGATTTTCATCCAAGTGGTACGTGCATTGCTGCAGCTGGTACAGACAACACAGTGAAAGTGTGGGATGTTAGGATGAATAGACTTCTACAGCATTATCAAGGCAAGTTACTGATTTCTGATAGTCATATTTTCATCTATAATGTTTTACCTAAAAATATAATGGCCAGGTAGTAGGGGTGTGCAATATGGACCCTATTCAATTCGGATTCGGCCCGAATCGGGGACAGTGATTCAATTGGTTTATTTGGATCACTGTCCCTGAGTTGATTTGGCTGAATCTGAATCTTCAGATACGATGCTGATTCAGAGAATCGGCAATTCGGACATAGACACAGCTTTAAAAGTTTTGGGGGTTTTTTTTCTACATACCTTGAGTTACCAGCACAGTTTGTGAACACTGCAATGGTGGGGCGCATGGAGCATCTCACAGGAGTGCGGGGGGTGGACCTCCACATGCTCAGTGGCAAACCCAGAAGTGGTCTAGAAGTACTTCGGGTCTGTCGGGGAGCACGCAGGGGAGCCCCCTTGTGCCCTCCTGGCTCAGTGATTGGTTGTGAGGGGACCCCAGGTGCCCCCAGACCCAGGAGGCACCAGTCATTGAGCCAGAGGGGTGGGGGGATGGGTCCCCAGCGCACTCCTGACAGACCTGGAAGCAGACCAGAAGTGCTTCTGGTCCACTTCCAGGTCTGCTGCTGAGCGCGCTGGGGAGCCCCCTGCACTTCTGTGGGACACTCCATACACCCCACCATCGCAGCAGTCATGAGCCGCCTGTTATCTAGAGGTATATAGAAAAAACATTTAAAGCTGTGTCTGAATCGCTGAATCTTTCCAACTCGATTTGGAGGGTTCCGATTCGATTTGGAGAGATTTAAAGGTCCTCTGATTCAACTGAGAGATTCGGCCACCGAATTGATCCAAATCTTCGCTGAATTGAATCGGGGACTGGAGCTTTGCACAGCCCTACCAGGTATAAAAGCAGAAGAAATGAAACTGTAGTAAGTTTTAGCTCACGTGACAAGTACTGGTCAGAAGTTGCCAGCTCTAAATTTAATTGTTGACAAATCTGGATTTATATAACTGTCTTTTCAAACAATACTTCCAAATGTATGCATCTACTAGCAAATTGCCCCCTCCCTCCCCCTCGTTCAGGTCCAGTCCTGCTCCACCTCCCTCCTCCTGGTTCTGACCCTGTCCCCTCTTCCCCTCCCCCCTAGTTCGGGTCCGATCCTGCTATGGGATCCTTCTTTAGCTAGCCCCACCGCTTTTAAAGTGTTCTTCCATATATACATATATATATTTATTTATTACAAATAAATGTATTTATTTATTTTTTGCCTCTGTGGAGGTGGGGCAGAGGGAACTGCTGCACTGGAGGCTGCAGGAGGAGGTGGAGCCAGCGGAAGGACTCCCTTTTTAACTCAGCTGGCCCTGCCAGCCCAGCCCATGCAGCCAATCGGTGCATGCGGAGCTGGGCAAAGGCATTACAGACAGACAGACTAAGCCTTTTATTATATTAGAATTTACTTTAAATTAGATTGGGAGAATTAAATTCTCTTGGTTCCCTATGTTTAGTACAGAATATGCAGCTCTGTATGGCTAGGCCATAACAGCAGAGCTCTGTGATTATCCTTTTAAAAGCATAGGATTGATCATAGAATCACAGAGAAGTAGGGTCCTGAGGTAGGATCATCCCTATCCAAACCATTCTATACAAATCCATAATCTAACCTCTTAGTAAAACTATAGTCAACCCTGATACAACACAAGATGTAGCACCCTTTAAAAACAAAGGAAGGCTTTAAAAACAAACAAACAACCCCCACCACTCTTAGCCTGACACATGGGAGGTAGGGGATTTCCCTCCTAGCCCCATGCAGCAACTAGCAAAGCCCAGGAGCATGGGAAATACTTGTAGTAGAGCATAGGCTATGCCTAGATTATCTCTGATCGGTGGCTGTCCAAACCCTTCTTGAACACCTCCAGTGATGGAGAGTCCACAAGTTGCCCAGGCAGTTTATTCCGCTGCGTCACTGTTCTTCATTGTTAAAAGTTTTGTGGATATCCAGTCAAAACCTACTTTGCTGCAGCTTCAAGCCATTGGTCTACGCCCCACTTTTTCTAGCTAAGAGAGCAAAAGTGGTTTCCCTCTTCTTTTATGGCAGCCCTTCAGGTATGTGAAGACTGCAATTGTGTCTGCTCTTAAGCAACTTTTCCTCAAGGTGAACATGCTTAGCTCCTTTAGCCTTTCCTTGTACAACTTGTTTTCCAAGTCCTTTATCGTATTTGTTGCCTACCTTTGGGCCTGTTCTAACTTCTCCACATCCTCTTAAAATGTGGAGCCCAAAACTGCACATAGTACTGTAGATCAGGCCCAACGAGTGGTGAGTAGAGGGGCACTATGACCTCTCACACCTACTGCTTCTTCGGTGCATCCCAAAACAGCATTTGCCTTCTGTGCAACTGCATCGCAGTGCAGACTCTTATTGAATGTGTTCTACCAAGACTTCAAGTTCTTTCTCTCTCGTACTGCAATCCAGTCAGGGCAGGGGGCACTTGCCACAGAGCTTGCCTAGGTGGTGCGGTCTGCAGTTGCCATGTGGTACCCTGTATGGGGCCGAGCCCCACTTGCTCCTGCCTGCCGGCCCCAACCGCAGCCAATGTGCACGCCCACTCTGCTTGCAGGTGGCTGCTCATCGCAGCAGGTGGGCAGAGTGGGTGGGAGGCAGTTAGAAGTTGGAGCTGGAGCCCCACTTTCTGGGTTAGGAGTTGCCACCTGGTTGCAGCTTCCTTCCCACCCCACCCAGAGTGGTGCAGCATAGGCAGGAGGAGGAGGAGCTACAGGAGGCAGAGGGGCGAAGCAGCACCTAGGTGGCTGCAGCAGTAGTGGCAGCAGCCTCACTGGGAAGCTGTATGAGTTGGCCGGGACTGGGCCAGCAGGTGTGGTCAGGAGCACAGTGCTGGCTGATGTGGATGGGGCTCTGCCCCATGCAGAGTGCCACAGGGGCAGCTGCAGGCCAGATCCAGTAAATTAGTGGGCACCCCATGCAGACCAGATCCAATCAGTTGGTGGGCCAGATCAGGCCTGTGGGTTTTTTTTCCCCCCAACCCTAGTGTAACCCTTAATGTTGGCATTCCAGTTGTAAGAGCTGTCCCACAATGTCTCTGCAATAACAATTAGGTTATAGTTCTTTTCACAGGCTGCAGCTTCCAGCTCTTGTTTATTCCCTGTACTTCTTGCTTTTGTATGTGCATATTGGATGTATTTTGCATTTTGACCCTACTCACTTCCATTTTATAGATTCACAGAAATTTAGGGCTGGAAGGGGTCTTGTCAGGTCCAGCTCCCCTGTTCTGGGCAGGAAAGACTGCTGGGGTCAAATAACCCCAGCAAGGTGTGTGTCAAGTCTCCTTTTGAAGGTCTCCCATTATGATCCATCAGTTCCAAGGACAAGCCTCACTGCATTTGCCTTGGGAATAAAACCCTTCTGTGGAAGAGCTTCTGCAAAGAGAAATTTCCATCTAAGTGGGGAGATCCCATCTGTCATTTGCTAAAGGCTGAAAAAACCCAGCAATGAGCATAGGGCCTCTGCTTGTACTGTGGAGCACACAGCCATTTTGCATCCACCTGTCTTGCCACATGCAGGGAGGGGTCCACTGCCAGGAAACTGGTACCTGGCCAGAGTTAAGGGTATCTGAGGCAGGTGTCGGAGTTGTACTGTGCCCTTCCAACCATGTTACCCCTTTGGTTTTGATAACATGGGCCATTGCAGCATGCAGTCCTTCTCCGTTGTTACTCACTGTGCACCTGTCCCACCCTACTCTGTCCATAATACAGTTATCTACTCTGGACTCTGGTGGTTCAGGCAGTTTTATGGATGCCAATTTTGCCAAAGCATAGTGTATGCCAGTAAGATGCTGCAACTTCAAGCCATTGGTCCAGGCCTTGTCCTCTGCAGCAAGGGATAAAAGGTATTCTAGACAATGGTTCTCAATCTTTTCAGACTGAAAGCACCCCACAGAAAATGCCACGTCTTAATTATAGAAAAATATAGAAGCTGTAGAAAAATAGAGCAATTCTGGTGTTGTCAAGAACTTGGAAAGACCACAATGAGTTGAATGTTGTTAATACCATGTATTCCTATTTGAAACCTCTACGTTTATCTTGCAAATCATGTTTACATACTTAACAGTGCCAACATTGCATAGCACCCTATGACACCCTTGAAAGGATCTCATGGCGTGCCAATCAGGGAAAGCCACTGCACCCTGATTGAGAATCAGTAACTGACAAAACTTCCCTTTTACTTTATTTTCACAAGATCTCAGTTCACCCCTTAATCTTCAGTTCTTTGGGAGCAGTTCTTGTATAACTTGAAAATTTATAATCAGGAGGTACATATAACTTTATATGACTGTAATGGAAAACCTTTATCCATTTTTTTTGCCTTTGCTTATTATAATATATGCTTTTCCCCTCCCTCTCTCTTTTCAGTGCACAGTGCTGTGGTAAACTCTCTTTCCTTTCACCCATCTGGAAACTACCTGATTACTGCCTCCAATGATTCAACTCTGAAAGTTTTGGACTTATTAGAAGGAAGGCTGTTGTACACTCTTCATGGTCACCAGGTAAGAAAAATCTTAATTTTCCCCCTCTTGTTCCAGGATAGATAAAACACAAATGAAGAAATACTGTTGAGTTGAATCTTAGGCTTTGTTTTGTTCAGACAGTAATTCTTTTTTACATTAAATTTGTAACTTTGTCCTCAGGAAAAAAGGATATAATCTTTGGGTGCATGTATGTATGCATGTAAGATAGAGGCAATTTAATAGACTTTGTCTGATGTCTATTGTCAGCAGAAAAACTAATTTTTTGAAGACATTGGACTTCACAAATAAAACAATAATAATTTTAACAACATATTTTCGTTCAGTGTTGGTAAGCTTTTCTCTGTAAGTGCTAGTAAGTGGCGATTGAATATGCAAAATGGACTATTCATGGGTGTGTTTGGAGAAGGTAGAGGGTGTTTGTGTTTAGGTGGCAGGAAGCTTTTCTAGAATGTGTCTGTTTTATTAGCTAAGTTTTATGTGCTATCTTGTTTGATTGTTTGCTAAATGATGCTGATTTGCAGAACTAATTTGTGTATTAGTACTGAAGCTTCTATGTGCTGTTTGTTTGTTTGTTTGTTTTGTTTACTTCTGTTATCGGAATGGTTGGAGATCTTGTGTGCTCTTTTTATTTAAGAGTTTTTACTGGCTGGTAAGTCTGTTACAAGGAAGGGGAGGGGGGGAGGGAAGGGGCGTGGGGGGAGCAAATCGAGGCCCCCATGGTGAGGAAGGAGGGGAGCTGGGGCTGAGGCAGGTGCTGCCCAGCTGGGGTGGGGTGTGAGATGGAGCCACGAGTGGCTTGTCTGGGGGGTGTGGGGAGGGAGAGGGGGTCAGCTCCCATGGCTGTGTGCACCCTCAGGAGAGGCATAGGGAGCGTGTGCCCCCCGGATCTGTACACGGGGCGCAGGCAGGCTGCTGCTGTGGGCTAGGGCTGGGGGCTGCACCAGGCTCTTCCTGGCAGTGGTGGGGCTGGCCCAGGGTTGTGCTTGGGTGGGCGGTGGCGGCACTGAGAGGGGATGCTACGGAGGGACCCACCCTATAGCCCTAGTGTCGCTGCCACCCAACCAGAGCCCATCCTCAGCCCAGCCCCATCGCTGCCAGGAAGAGCCCAGCGCAGCCTGTAGCAACAGCCTGCCATTGCCCCCGTACACTGATCTGGGGGGCATATTCTCCCTATGCCTGCCCCGGGTGTGCACGCGGTGGTGGAAGCCACCCGTCCCTCCCTTCCCATGGCCCCCAGATGAGCTGCTTATGGCTCCATCCCACACCCTACCCTGGCTGGCCAGCTCCTGCCCTAGCCCCCACCCCCCACCTCCCTCACCTTAAGGGCCTCAATCTGTCCCACCCCCACACACCCCTTCATTCCCCTCGCCCCTTTCTTCCCATCAGATTTACCAGCCAGATGCTGCTCTCCGCCAGGCTGCATATTGGCAATCACATCAGTATCGACCGATATGGCTTGTTAACATTCAGCCCAAAAAATCTTTATTGGTGCACCCCTAGAAATTGTACATTTTGTTGCCTTTTTCTAGGTTTTTACAAGTTAAGCTGATTATACCAGTGGCCTTAGTCATCTGCAATCTCTGGAAATCTCATTCAGGGTGAAGTTACATACTGTATTGAGACCATACTAAGGGCACTTAAAATACAAACATTCCCATGTTAAAACTTGTTAATTTGTGCTAAATGCCTTTTGAGCATCTCAAAGTTGCATCATTTCAGGCAAGAGTTAACTCTGGGCTGTGCTACCTAGCTTATGTTAGGGTAATTTTGGTCTGCTCCATGGAGATAAATGAGCAATTTCCAGTCCTCTGGCATCCAAGGATATGTCGTTCCCAACACCACTGGAGACAGTAGATACATGAGTTTAATACAAAGACTCATCAATGCATGGGTGAACTGCCATTCAGGTGTGCAGTGGTATCTCTTATTTCCCCCATGTATTTCACAGACCTCCTGATGTGTGAGTGCTGCTTTCTAGATGCGTCTCTTCTTGGCTTGACTTCCATGTCCCAAGTTTTAATTAATTAAAAATCATATTCTATTATCTGAATTTTCTCAGGTACGAGTTCTAGTCACATTAGTCCTATTTCTTTGCACGGGAGAATTGGGGCAATGTCACCAAT